TAAATCCAAAAACACCTTAGTGTTCAGAGGTCCCTCCAGAAGCCAGGTGCCTTATGGTCTCAAAGCAGCAAATATTGTTCTGTTCACTCATGGCTAGAAGGCTGGGAGGCTCTCTTCTCCTCTAATAACATTTTGCCTCAGCCCCAGCTGTAGCTCCAGCCTGAAATCCTTTCTTACTGAGGCTCAGAGGCCCATGCCCCTGCTTGTTTGCCTGCACGTGGTGATCAGAAATGCAAATTAAAAAAAAAAAAAAGAAAAAGACATACATACTTTGACTGGATCCTTGCCTTCACTGTGTGTATTCACTAAGACCTCCATGGCCCATCATCCCCCAATGGGGCTGTCTGGCTCGGCCCAGTCTGTTCTCACAGCACTCATGTGGGCCCCTATACACTTTTACCACCGCCAAATACTTGACTGGTTTAAAGCCTCTTGCCCAGGCCACAGCAGTTAAAAGCAAACAGCACAACTATAAAACTCCCCCTAGCCAAATATAAGCCTCCGCAAACTGCCAAGGTCACAACAGCCTGCCTCACCAAAAGCCTTTCCAGAGTGTGTTTTGCTTCCCCTAATTTCAAGTCTTTTATTTTTAGTTTTTACTATTCTAGTCCATGCACCAAATGCTGGTGTCTCCAAGGGGTCTCCGATAAATAGCACACGCCTTCCTTGCTCAGATTCTGAACAAATTGGGAAATAAAACCGAGGAATGATGAAAGGGGGGGGGAGCAAAATAGCTATGACCTTTATTATTGATAAAGGCCAAGATGGAAAATATAGCTTAGCATGAGTACCTGATGGTTTTCCTACTGTTGAATCCCAGTTTAGAGAGGTTTATCCATCTGGGTACAGAAGTGCTGGTTTCCCCTGCCTCCAAGCATAATCAATGTTTTCTTCCCACATTTATGAATCATATAAGTTGAATCATCTCTCTAGAGGCAAAGTGAGTAAAGGGGAAGAGAAAGGTTAGAACCTGTTTAGAGAAAATCCATTCTCATGAAAATTACAGAAGTGGGAGAAGGAAGTACCTTGTAATGCCTACGACAATGTGGTAAAACTGTCGGGACTGGTATGCGGGACTGGTATGACTCTCCCTCCTGATGATGAAGTGTCTCAGGGCAGGGTCCCTGTCTTATTGATTCTTGTATCTTCAGTGCTCAGCACCATGTCTGGCATTCAAATGTTTATTTATGCCTCATCTTTAAAAAGATTTAAGGAAAATTTAAGTTTTGAAAAGCAAGTCATAAAGACAGTTGAAATTAACGGAAAATGGGAATAAGAAAATTAGACCTACAGCAAATACAGTGTATAAAAAAATGGATGACCTCCAAAATGTAATTATTCTGAGCTTCTGACACCTGACTCAAAAAGAAAACACCTGCCCTCTTGCTACGCTGTGTGATCAACTGGTATCACCTGGAAGCCTGCCGGTCCAACTTTATCAGATATCTATAAAAAGAGCATAGCTGAAAATATAGAGAAAACAGCACTACCTCGGTGTGTATGTGCAGATATATGACATAAAATAAGAATGACAGGTGGACGAGAGCAAAAGTGAGAGAGGAATACAGGGAAGACAGAGAGAGATGGAAAGAGAGGAAGAGAGGTAAACAGGGCTCAAATCATGCAGGCTTCTGTATCATGCTAAGGAGTTTGGGCTCCATCCAGAGGACAATAGAGAGCCATTAAAAGTTTTGTTTGTGGTTGCTGCAGCTGATTTTAAGCAAGAAATAGTACAGTCAACCGCTTCAGAAATTCCTCTCCTATAAATTAATGGAATTGGATTTGGCGTTCTCTGTGTAGAACCATGTATTTTATTTCTAAATCAGGATGCTTTTTTTAAAAATTGGAGTATAATTGCTTTACAATGTTGTATTCGTTTCTGGGGTACAACAAAGTGAATCAGCTACATGGATACATATATCTCCATATCCCCCACTCTTGGACCTCCCTCCCACCCATGCCCCCCACCACACCCATCTAGGTCATCACAGAGCACTGAGCCGACCTCCCTGTGCTATACAGCAGCTTCCCACTAGCTATCTATTTTACACATGGTAGTGTATATATGTCAATGTTACTCTCTCAGTTCATCCCACCCTCCCCTTCCCCCGCTGTGTCTACATGTCCATTCTTTACGTCTACATCTCTTTTCCTGCCCGGCAGATAGGTTCATCAGTACCATTTTTCTAGATTCTATATATATGTGTTAATATATGTAAATCAGGACATTTTTAAAGGTGAAAGAGAGCACTGTTAAGATTATTCCATGACAACAAGCAACAGCCTGGACTGTCCTTAGGAAACCAGGATTTAGCGGTCCTTACAAATCCCCCAGTCCTACCACGGTCTGACCCCTTTTCTGTTAATCAGCACTAACACTATATCACACTGCCCAGGGGTCCACATTCTACTTAGCACAGCGAAGCAGTGAGAGTTAGTCTAAAGTGTTATTCGAACAATTTTCTTTCATTTCATAATTCGCTGGATGCATATTATAAGCCCATAAAATTCAACAGCCCATAAAAATAGCTTCGTTTTATAAAACTCTCTTTTTACCACAACCGTTAATATTAACCCCCCTTCACTTTCATTCCATACAAGTGTAAGAGTGATTTTTAAAGCAAATTTAATGCATGGATTTGTTTTAAGAATTTTTGGAAACATGAAGATACCTGGGAATAACAAAATATAAGAAAGGGAAATTATTTCTCCATGACTGTTACTTGTAGGTTGAGGTTACTTTGTCTTGATTCATCATAAAAGATTTTTCCTCACTTTTTGTCCACTTAGGCAAGAGGTTTAGACCAGTAGTATGAACCCCTACGATCAGACATGAGGGGGACTTTTTTTAATTAATATTGGTGATTCAAAAGTGAATTTCAAGTCCTGATTGAATTTTATTACGTGTAAATAATAAACACGTTATAGGACTTTCCACAAATAGTTTTTCAATTTGTTGTGGAAAAATTCTCCCAAAGTAATGTTCCATATGCAGCAACAGCTAAAATGTAAGATATGAACGGTATAAAGTGTATGAATAATGCATATAAAATACAGAGTATGAAAGTATAATATAAATGGTATATTTAGAGAGAGATGTAAAAAATAACAATGGTGAGATTCCAGATAATTTTGATTTTCCACTCTTAATTTCAGTTTATTAAACAATTATCTGTATCAGTAGAGAGTTCATTTTCTTTGGAGAAGATGGTACTTCTCAAAGTTTAATGTGCTTATCAATCAACTTGTGATCCTGTTAAAAGGCAGAATCTGATTTACTAGTCTGGAGTGGGACCTGAGACTCTGAATTTCTAAAAAAAAAACCCAGGTTTTTGGCGATGTTGCCAATTCAAGGACCCCACTTTAGGGTCTCAAGGGCATAGGTCTCTTGCTCTCCAACGTGGCTGCACCTTAAAATCATTTGGAGAGTTTTTAAAAACACACATGCATGAGTCCCACTGCCAGAGGTTCCACTTTAATTAGCCTGGGCTGGGTCTCAGGATTTTTAAAACTCCTCCGGTGATACTAATGTGCCTCCAATGTTGAGAAGCACTGCTGCAGGTCTGCGTTCCAAAAGGTCTAATCCTATTTTTATATATGTAGCATCCGTTTTGTAGGCGGTACTCACATAATTTTGATGTTCTTTGTGATGGTGAGACATCAGCCTTTGTAGTACGGACCTAAAGATGTGTATGTTTCTCCCACAGTGATCGCTTTTGAGTTCTCCAGAAATAGGAAAGCATCATCATCACTCACAGCTGCAGGTTGAAAATGGCTCCTTTGGAGTAAAATCTCAGTGAGTCACTGGATGTTGATTGGAAGCTGAACCCACACTACGTGAAAGGACCGAGTTGTCAAAGAAGACATGTGCATCACAGATAGGAAAAGTCCTTTCTGTATTTCTTATTTAATATTCAACTTTTACTCATCTTGGAGTCAGGAGTCAGCAAATGTTATTTCTTTTTCTTGCTGTGCTTCTGACCTTGGGCAAGCCACTTAATCTCTTCATGGATCACAAAGGAAATAAAAGGTTGCCATCAGATGCTCCTCACATCTCTTTTAATTTTCAAGATTTAAATTTCTCTCCTTCTTTTCTTCCTCCCCTTCTCCTAATTCTCATTATCCTTATCCATTTCCTCAACATTGTCATCCTCTCAAAATCCCTCCTGTAGAACAATGGTTCTCGAACTTCAGTATGTATCAAAACAATCAGCAGGGCTTACTGAATCCCAGATTCTGAGCCCCATCCCCTGCGTGTCTGGTACAGTAGGTCTGGTGTCAGGCCTGAGAATTTACATTTCTAACAAGTTCCCAGGTGGTGATGATGATGATGGCAATCCAGCCCACACTTGGCAAACTACTGCTCAGAGGATTCATATAAGCAAAATCAGAATACTATACTAGCATGGCGTGCAAAAAAAAATGGGCACTTAACTCCAAAAGTACATTGCCTAAGGGATATTAAGGAGTTTTTACATGTGCCTTTTTAGAAAACTCTGCCTGACCTACCTTGTAGATCAAGGCACCTGGAGGAAAGGATCGTTGCTTGCCATTCCTGGCATGCAATTTGGTACCAACTCTAAGAAGAGATTATAGGATTGCTCCCTTACTCCAAATAAAAGCAGGCTGAAAAGAAGCACCATTTCCCTCAATTTGATGAACTCACTGCAGAACAGGCTTGAGCTGAGGAAACCATAAGCAATCAGACTAACATATAAACAAAATCAATCCAACAGCACTACAGATTAACTTTAAAAACACTTCTCACACTATTTAGTCATAAATACTTCCAGGAAATGAGAAATGATATCTAAGTTCACACATTTCTCCTTGATGTGTATCATTCAGACCATCTAGACACCAGTTACCTGACTCTAAAGCTTTCCTGGTGAGAACATTAAGATGAAATTTTTTCTCTCTACATTTTACCTTTTCTCATGTAGAGGAAAAAATGGGGGAAACTATATATTATTAGATATTGGCAAATGCATTACCTTAATTTCCTTCACAGCACCCATCATTGAGAGGAAATTTGAAGTACCAATAAGTCCACCATTCCCGTGTACAACCATTCCTTTGTGTTGACCTGCGGAATAGAATATAGTCACAAAGAATGCACACAGATGCATACATGAAATTTATACAAACAAGTAGGTTAAGTACATGAGATGAAAATGCACACATACATGCCTGCATGTCTGCATACATATTGTCCTTGTAAGAAACTCTTTGAGGGTTGAAAATAAGAAAACCAAGTGTCTTCTTCTATTGCCTCTAGCAGAGTGTGTCTTTTGCATATCTGAAGGCTTCCCCGGGAACATGCAGGACACAGAAGGTTACGTTGGCTGTGCTGAGTCAGCATCAATCTGCCAATTGCTGCTTGGTTTGTGCAGAAACTCCTTCTATGCCATGCTTGGTATTCTCCAAACCTACTTAAGATCAATGCTATTAATATTCCTCATTAGGCCACTGTAATCGACACTGTTTTCTTTCACAGAAAATGATTTTAAAAGAGCATGAAATCCTCAAAATGGTTCAGATGAAAGAAAAATGAGGTAGTGTGGAAATGGCTTGGGTCTTTTGAATATTTTTTTTTTAAGGAGGATATTAAAATGTTCACCCTGAAGCTTTATCAAATGTTTTGGAGATCCTTTGTACCTCCGTTCAGTAGTTATAAATTCGAGGACTCCATGCTGCTTCCACCATGGGCATTTTGTCAGCAACTTTATATGAAGAAGAGGGATTTTTGAGTTTCGTTGTCATGGTAACCCTATATTCAGGTTGAAAAGCTTTATTGAATGTTTTGGGTATGTCTCCATTGCAGCCTTCATTTAATAGATTTTGATGTTCAAATGTTTAAATATACTACTTCATCTCTGCTAGCGTTGTTTGGCTTTATATATATATATATATATATATATATATATATATATGCATGTATATTGTTTAAATGCTTAGGTACCATAGGAAAGAAAATATGCTAAATCTGATTTTTCTTTCTTTTCCTCTATCCTTGTTGGTACCTAAGATTTTTCACTTGTGAAAAGCAAAGGAAGATGTACAGATAGGGTCTCAGATATAGGAAACATAGATGTCCTCTTATTTGGATCTCCAAACAGGATCACAGTGTATTTCTGAAAAGGCCATAATTTTTCCTACATTATTTCTTTATTCAAAAGGATGGAGCTGCTACAAGGGCAAGGGGCAATAGGGATCAGAGGGGATAGACAAGTGATTTGGGGAAAATCACAGGGTATCCAAAAGGTGATCCTACCTGTTTGTCCTTTTGACAAAGACTCTTTGCTGTTGCTCCCCATTTCCCCATTTCTGAAAACATTTTTCTAGGAAATTCATGTGTCCTATCAAGGGTGAATGAGAGTCTCAAGGTAAAAAGGACTTTGTTGTTAAATATATTAGGATGACACTAGATTAGATAAAGGATTCAACATGCTTCTGTGCATTGTGATGTCTTTAAAAGATCAAATAGTGCTACTCAAATATTTTGACCAGGGAGCTTGGGGGGTGGGTCACCTACAGAACACACTCTAGGGAATGCCGCTTTCTAACATATTTCTAACCGGTTTCTTCTGTTCCATATGTGAACAGAACAGAAAAGATTCCTGAGACAGTCAGCAAAGTGATACTTAACTCACATTTTGCTCTGCTGCATGACTGCAGAACACACTTGAAGAGATAGGTCTCTCAAAACAAGCTCAGAGCTCATGTGAGGAAAAGTACAGACCCCTTGACAACAGGCTCTCCATCTACTAGCTAATCACCTCTACACAGGTACCTTCAAGAAACTGAGAGCAGCAAGTCCACAAGGGGAACTCTGGGAAGGACAGGAGATTTGGGGAGGATCGTACCCTGAAATTCTTTCCTGAGGATTATTCTTTGGAAACAAACTCATTAACTAGAGGGCAGGACATCCCTGTGACTGAACTTTGAAGGCATCCCTCCTATGAATGATGCTGTTTTCCCCACTCATGTATTTTAATCTGTGATTTAAACCTTTTATTATCCAGTACAGTAACTATAGTAGCCTAGAGAATAATTTTCAATCAAATATCATTTTCTTTGAGATTTTTGGAGAAAAAAAATCACTTAGTTGCTCAGGCAGATGCTTACACATTTTGGATTATGATTCATGGAGACAATAGTTTTGTTCCAGTGCAAAACAATTAGAAATCATTGCCTGCATCATTTCAACATACAGTGCTTTGGCCTTCTCATCTTGTATTAAAAGACCCTAATAACAAGTTTATTATGATGATATTGAGTATTATTTAATATGTATCACATCCAACCCTACATTAGACTCTCTCTGCCCAGCAAGGTTATTTTGTAAATCCAATCCCAAATAAAAACCGTAAACAGGGATGTTGATGATTCATATCAGAGAAAACAACTGATTTCATTTACATCATCATCTGTTGGCCATCGGGACTTATTATTCCTGATTTCACCTTCCAGCTCCCAACTACCTTCCTCACTGTTGCGTGACATACCTCAAGGAATGAGTGGGAGAGTTGCTGAAGGAAGAAGCAGAAAGGATGCTGTCAGTTTGACCGGGTCTATTTCATCCTACAACACCATGGTTTTGTTGAGGGAAAAGGGCTCTTTTCATTACAGAACCCATTCCATAGCTGAATGGTTCGCTGCTGGGTGCTTCAGTGTCTGAAATCTGTCTGAATAAATTCTTAGACTCTTAAAGGGCAGTTATTCCAAAGCTCATTAGTCCACTCTGAAGAGTACATGCACTCATGCCATACTGCTTTCTTCAGTCTCTTTGCTCCACTGACTTATCACAGCGAGTTAAGCAAGGCAACTGTAGGGGTTGTTGATCCTGCCCAAGCCAGATCCCTTTTCTCAGGCTGCAAACTCATCCCCCAACTGCTGTGAGTGTTGGCTGCTAACGGCTCACAGCTTGCCCTTTCTCTGGAGAATTTCTCTTAGCCTTAATTGGGCCACCACATGCAAGGGATAACCATCCTGGTTTTCTGGGACTGTCCCAGTTGTACCACTGAAAGCTCTGCCTCCCAGAAAATCTCTCAGCCCCCAGCATGCTAGAATCGTTGGTCTTTCCCAGTTCCACATCCCCTTGTGACTAACTCATACAGGGAGTCCCCGTAAGGGTGACTTTCAGGCACAGTCAACACTGTGGTGCAATTCCTGCTACTGAGCTCCAGGTGGAATCAAGCTGAAGCCAGACTCCAGCTTAGATGGCCTCATTCCTTAGCTCCCTCCCCTTTCCTCCCCTGCATCCCTCATTCTCTTTTTCCTTAGGGCACGCCTTCCATAAATCATGGGCACCCAAACCCTTGTCTCAGGCTCACGAACCCTACCCGCCAAAGACAGAAAGTCTTTCAGTACTAGGAAATGAGCTCTAGGAGGTCAGCAAAATGTAGTGGGAAGTGTGTGGGTTTTGTGGTAAAACTCACCCAAGTTAACATTCTACCTTTTTTGTTCGCAAGATATGTGACCTTAGGCAAGTTACTAAAACTCTTCTTCGGTTCCTCAACTGTTAAATGGTGATAATTAAATCCTTCTTGCAAGATTTTGTGATTATTTAAAAATGGGTAAATTTGGGGCATAGAGTGAGTACAAAGTAAATAGGACCTTTTGTGAAAATCTTCAGCAGTCATCTGAAGTGAGTGCTTAGTTGAGTGAGCACTTCATAAATATTACTTGCATTAACTTACCCATCCTCGATAGACATTCTATTGTGATGATCAATCTGAAAAGCACTTACTGAAAAAAATCCAAGTCTTAATTTCAGATATGGATGTGAATAAAAAATTTCACCAAACTACAGAACAATTCTGATCTAATCAAGATTCTCTTAACTCTGAAATTTGCTTCTAGGAGTTACTCTTAGATTTTTAATATACATGATGTATATATCTTGAATATAATCATTATTTTTATTTTAGAGTTATCATATACTTGGGGGTTACTGGGAAGGTCAATTTTGAAGATATATATTAAAATGATTATTACTATGTTACTATAATAGTTTTTGTGTGTGTGTGTGGTAAGAATACAACATGAGATCTACCCTCAACAAATTTCTAAGTGCTCAATACAATACTGTTAACTATGACACCACAAAGTTGTCCAGCAGATCTCTAGAACTTATTCATCGATATAACCAGAAATTTACACGAGTTGAACAACAATCACCCATTTCCCACTCCCCCTGGCAACTGCCATTCTACTCTCTGTTTCCATGAGTTTAGCTATTTTAGATCCTTCATATAAATGGAATCATGCTGTATTTGTCCTTCTGTGACTGACTTATTTCACTTAGCATAAGGTCCTCCAGGTTCATCCAGGTTGTCACATATGGTAAGATCTCCGTTTCTTTTTTTAAGACTAAATAATATTCCATTGTGTGTATATACCACATTTTCTTTATCCATTAATCTGTGGATGGACATTTAGGTTGCTTTCACATCTTGGCTCTTATGAATAATGCTGCAACAAACATGGTAGTCTTAACATCTCTTCAAAATCCTGATTTCAGTTCTTTTGGATAAATACCCAGACATGAGATTGTTGGATCGTACGGTAGTTACATTTTTAATTTTTTTGTTTAAAACCGCATTTTTTTGTACTTTAATTTCAGAACAAAATAAACAAAAATACACCACAGTACACAATACCTAAACCCTATATCAGATGTGGGAAGCAATAGGACTTGAGGCCCTTGTATCCTGCCTCAGACAGAAAGATGGAGAAATAAAGCCACTAGACATCAGCAGAGGGAACCAGGTGGGCCAGGACCACACAGGTGTGCTGCTGGGGGAGACATGAGGACACTATATAGAGGAAACAAAGTGTGCAAGTAGAAACTCCTAATCTACTTCTTCCATGTGAGAAGCACCCTCAACATCCTCAAGGGAGGGGCAGGCAGGGATCTCATCTGAACAGCAGCACATGAATTCTACCACAGTTTTTTACAGATGTATGTCAAGAACCATAGCTAGAATAGAGGTTCTGAAAAAGGACTGGTGTTTGTAACTCTCACTTATTAAGCTCTTTCTGTGGTTCTGTGGCAGGTGTATTACTCAGGTAACTCTTTTA